CTCTGTAACCAAACAAAATTGAAGGCTATAAAAATTATGACTTCTCTGAGCAACGATAATTTTATAGTGAGTAATTTACGTTTAATTTTGTACTTATTGGAGGGGTGGTGGATAAAATAGAGGAGATGCCTAGAGAAAATGTGTCACACTAGGCAAAATTCAGAATTCTTTTAAAAAATTAAGAACTTAAAACTATCATACTATTAAAAAATGATTATTAGCTAAGATTTTATGCTATACTAATTGGTATAACATAAAAAAATAAGTAGTTTAATAAAATTTTGAATGTAACTCACTAAAACCTCGTGACATGCATAGTAAAGAATGTTTGTTGCAATAGGGTTAATCTGTACATATAAAGCAGAAGTTTCAGTTGCAACTATGTGTTCACTTTCCAAACTACCACTTTTTGACCTATCACAACCAAACTTGGCATATACCTCAGGGCTCCCTGAGCAGTATGCATAAAGGGCCTTAGGAATGGATCCCTTATGACATCCTCTGGGGACTACTGATTATTTGCAAAATATGCCTACAGCATCCAGCCAAAACTGGCATGCACACCTACGTACCCCCAGGGAGTATCGAAAGGGAATTATTGTCAGTACAATCTTCAAATCACTCCCAGGGCCACTGCCTATCTTTCACCAATTTCAATCAAACTTGGCATTACTCTTACAAGCCCCTGAAGAGTATCATAGGGAGTCAGCCCCCACAAGACCTCCAGGGAGACACTGTCTGTCTATGTCTATTTTTTACTCCTACAGTTTCTGAAAATTCCCAACCAAACTTAGCATACACACTTAGGACTCCCAAGGGAGTGTCACAGGGGAGTTGTTGTTTAGATCTGATGTATACGAGACCTCTGTAGGTCACTGACCTTAAGTGTTCCCTGTGCTATTTACTCATCTCAACCAAACTTGGAAGACCAATCAAAGAGTGACTAAGAGAGGTTGGTATTGTTTGTTTGTTTTGAAATTTTGCGCAAAGCTACACGAGGGTTATCTGCACTAGCCATTGCTTAATTTAGCAGTGTAAGACTAGAGGGATGGCAGCTAGTCATCACCACCCACTGCTAACTCTTGGGCTATTCTTATACCAAGGAATAGCGGGATTGAATGTCAAATTATAAAGCCCCCACAGGTGAACATGTTTGGTGGGATGGGGATTCGAACCCGTGACCCTCAGATTGCGAGTTGAGAGCCCTAACTACCTGGCTTTGCCGGGCCTGGTTGGTAATGTATCTTACTTCTCTATGTTCATGAGATCATATGTATTCCTCATACTACTTTATTAATCTCTAGCAAACTTCTAAGACACCCTTTATGCACCTTGGTCCTGGCTTCCCTATATCACACCTGCAGGCTCCTGTTTACCCCACACACTGCACAGTTGCCTCAGCTTGTATTTAATATTACAACAGCATCATAAATTACAAATATCTGAAGAACTTGTTCTTTTACCCTTGTTTAAAACAAGTTTGAATCCTTATACTGAAAGGTTATTTTATTTGGTAAAGTTTTTACATTTACTGAATACCACCTTGAAACACTGCCCAATATTATAATGTAAAAAATACAGCACTTTTCAAGATTATTTTATGATCATAAAATCTGTACTCGGATATAAAAGAGCCTGAAATAGATAAAAGAACTAGTACTCTGTAGTTATTGAGTTATTGTTAACATAGCAAAAACACAACATCCCACCAGTAGAAATTAGAAAACTGGGTCATATGTTTTTGACACACTATGTTCTCAATGTTTATTTATTCATTTGGTCCCTGTATGATTTATTCTCTGCAGAACTTTTTATTTTGAACTTCCCATTCTCTGTGGAATTTATAACTACTCTGTTGGACATCACTGTATCTGAATACCATTCATCTAACACCCATGGTTGTATAAAAAAATGGAAAATAAATGCTAAAGTCCTATTTGGAATACTTAGTCAAGAAACTAGCAAACTAGTTTAACTTCTTTGGCTTTGAGAATTTATTAAAACTAATAAAAAAAGCTTTATATTAATTTGAAAGTATATAGTTACAGGAACTACACACAACTACAAAGATTTGAAGCAATTACAATATTAAACTTGCACAACTATTGTGTGAAACAGTACAATAGCAGTTTTTCTTTGAGCAGTAGTGATTTATAAAAAAACAATGTGCTCATTATGAATTAATAATATCTGAAGGAAAAAAAACTTTTTAAAGTTGGTGGTATTATTTGAAAAAAAAAAAATCTTATAATACTTTGATAGTGGTTAAAAGATTGACCCTGTCAAGTCAAATTAGAGAAACTGATTAATGTACCAAGTTCACATAAGATCTATACAAAAACAGTGCAGGTTGCTGGATATCAGTCATGATTTCACATAATACATGTAAACCATGCATTAAACATTTAGCACGTTAACTGCTGCAATACCTAGCATCATCTACGACAAGTGCTGATAAGTTTTAGTACAATATTGTTGTGTTTTCAATTCAAATAATAGCAATAATAATAAATCTAAAAAATAATCTTTATATTTTTGTATTTATGATGCATGTGTTGTAAACACATGTGAATAATTGCTAAATGTGCATCTTCAGCAGTGAATGTGTTAAAGAAATTGGTAGAAGCAGAATCCCAGAAAAACAAGAACAATGCTGTCATTATAAAACTAAGATGTAGCTAAGTATACTGTTCAAGGTTTTGGGAATATACTTGCAGTATCTGGAATATGGGGTAGAGGTTCATTTGAGGATATTTAACATTTATGAATGTAAACTGTAACATATATCTCATATAACATAAAAAAAAAAGATTTACAAGCAAATAAATATACTGATTATTCAAAGAAATAAAATCTTTCTACAACTTACCAGAATTAATGGAAGTTGCTGGAAAACTACCAAATGGATCAGTATTTTCAAAAGGATCAACCTGTTGGGATAAGCAATTTTATGTCAAGAATAAACATTATTTAACTGAGGTCAAATTTTTTTAGGATGACCAATTTCATATCATAGTACATAGAGGTAATATTTACTTTGCCATTTCCAATGCTTTAACCTTTTTGCATTGGGTAAGCCAAAGTGTGTTTGTTACAACCTTTTACTGAGTTACATTCTTTATTTTAGTTTGTTAAAAATACTTCACTAAAAAATATAAATCTTTGTGCGTGAAAGACTTATGATGTTAACTGAAAGACTGCTAAATTTTGTGAAGATATACACACACTATATTGAAAGTTAGAAGTATTAAATCTATAATGACTTTAAATGAGTATAAAGAGGCCACGTGATTGGTCAAATTGACTGACCCTGTTTTGAGAGAGTTAATTAAATTTGGATATATCGAGTATTTGTATTGAATAGTCATGGGCAAAGTAATTTTCATGTTACGATTAAAAATAGTTTTCTTCATCTCAAAAATTTCAATTTCCTTTGTGTAATCCCTAAAATCTCCTAAACAGATTTCAAACGTTTTTTTTCCCCAGTAAAACTAATATATTTCATCTGTTATTTTCTCTACCCTAACTCAAAATCCGATAGGTCAGTTTGACCATAGTAAGTTGTAAATCACTCTGGGCATGTGCAGCTCACGTTACACAATTGAATTACATTATCTACATGCTGCTCGCGTGCGTACCTCGTGAAACATTTTTATTATATTATTTTACCTAATCTAAAAAGATCCCTATTTTTACATTTTAGTTACTTTTACAATAATAAATAAATAATAAACACGAGAAACAAGAAATAAATTATTTACCCAATCTTCTTTTTTCTTGCTGTCAATTATCAATTATACTTAAGCCTACATATTTTATACTAATGGTGGTAATGGTAGTAGTCAATTCAATAATTTATATTTAACTAAATAATACACCAAAGAACATACACTAATAACATGCAAAAAGCAGACAATTTTTCCCCAACTCTCACAATTTTTCTACCTTTCTAACTATACGACAAGAGCTGTTACATATTCATCCAAGCTAGTCCTTAACTTTCCAATGAGAATAAAGCTTGTACTCTGAGCGAAATTGACGCTTACCTGTTCAGAACACAATGTTATACAATACGTCATTTGATAGATGAAAACATTTACTGTTAATTGGTTATAAGTAATATATAATTAAACATATAAGAGAACTATTAACAAAGCCTGAAAAAGAGAATATGACAGAAGGGGTGTAATTTTCTATTCATAGCTCTGTAACCAAACAAAATTGAAGGCTATAAAAATTATGGTTCATTTGAGCAGTGATGATTTTACAGAGAGTAATTTACATTTAGTTTCGTACTGTTTCAAGGGGTGGTGAATAAAATGGAGAAGAAAAGATTCCTAGAGAAAATATGTCACGAGTATCACACTAGGAGAAGTTCAGGATTGGTTTTAATATTTCCTTATAGAATTAAGAACTTAAAACTTACATACTATTAAAATATGGATTATTAGCTAAGTGTTTTTGCCATATTAATTAGTATAACATAAACAAAAAGTAGTTTAATAAAATTTTGAATGTAAGACACTAAAACTTTCTGTCATGTGTAGTAAAGCATACCAGGGGTGAAAGGGTTAAACTACTTTATTATCTATGTGTACAAATAAACTTGGCATCAAACTGTAGTTATTAAATCAAATTTTAATATTATTTCAACTTTAAGTTTTATAAGGAAATATTTAAAAATTCCTCAATCTCCCCTAGTATGAGAACTGTGACATTTGCTCTCTAGGTCTTTCCTCTTCTATAACTTATTTACCGCCCCTCTGAGAAGTATGGAATTTAATGTTAATTACTTTTTTATAACATACATATTACTCAGGCAAAGCATAATTTTTATAGCCTTCATTCTTATTTGTGTACGGAGCCATAAACTAGAAAACCAGACCCACTTGCCACACCCATCTGTTACATTATCTCTTTCAGAAATTGCCAACAGATTTCTCTGACATTTTGTACTATATTATTTATAACCAATGAAACGCTAAAGTTTTAATCTATCAAACAACCTATTTATATTATGTTGTTTTCTGTACAGAGAATTATCTACTTTGCTTCAAGTTCAAACTTCATTCCCACGAGAAACACATCAGTGAATTTAGCTGAATTTGTATGGCTTTAATCACATAGTTAGAAACCAGAAAAAGTATGATAGTTACAGGACAATGTCTGCTTTTTTATATGTTAGTATTCTGTGTTCTTAAGTGCATTCTCTATTTAAATAAAAAAATAGTATAAAAAGTAGGCTTCAGTTTTCTTGACAGAGAAGAAAAGACCCAGGTAAGTATTATATTTCTCGTTTTTCATATATATTCTATATTTATTATTATAAAAGTTACTAAAATGTAAAAACAAACTTATTAGGCTACATAAAGTTAGACTGCATAAGATATTATACTAAAAATTCTTCATGAGGTATGCTCTCAAGCAGCTCATGCATTACATAATTTGATGTGATGTAATGTGAACTACACATTCGCTAAGTGATTTACAACTTGTGTGGTAGGATTATTAGTTAGACATGGTTCAAAAGGCAATAAAACAATAAAATAAAGTATAAGTAGATGTATACTATTACAATCTTTTAAGTTATTTAGGATACACAATTGTGGTTTTCTGTTATAATTTGCATCATTCCAGAAAGAGAAAAAAAGCTAGTTTAGAATTATTTCCTAATTTCTTTATGGTGGTTACAGAATCAGTCAAATCAACCAAACACGTATAGTTTTAGTACAGAAAATAACAAAAGACTTTTAATGTTTACTAAAAGCTTTCTAAATTTTGTGAAGGTACATTAAGTACTATCAGAGTCACAATATGTATACCACCATGATTACATGGTGGTTACAAGGTTATGTAAAATATATGAGCATGTTGCAATAGGGTTAATACTTTGAGAAGGATATGTAATTTCACTCACTAAGCTGTGTATTAAGCAGCTCTTTAAATTATTCATTTACTCACACATGTACATTGTAATTTTCCATAATATTTTAATGATTATGTGACATAACTCTAATATAACAATACAGCTGTTTTCAATACAAACAATGAATAGATTTTACACCAGTAAAACTATTAATAAAAGAAAGGTACATAGAGACAAATGGTTTTCTTGAACTACTTATACTGTAGAAAGTACTTGGAATCATCATTATATAAATACCTTCTGTTCTGGATTAGAAGCTTTAGTTGGGTTTTGTTCCTGCACAGATGAGGGATTTCCAAATCCATCGTTAAATGGATCCCAACCAAATGGATCAGCAGACACATTACTTGCAACCCCTTCAGATTTAAAAGGATCTCCTATAAATGAGAGAAAATGATATCTTAGAAAACATCAGTCTAAACCTGGATATCAGATATATAGCACACACATATGCATATAAAAAGAGAGTTAAATCATATTTTAAACAAGCAGTTAGAACATGCTAATGCAGTGACATGTTACCACCTATGTATTTTGTTCACAATGAATTTCTAACCATCTGACAGTGCATTGCTGCAAAGGGTAGACTTTTGCTGAAGCATTATGTTACAGCCCTTTCCAAGAAAGAATATTCACAGAGTGAGATTATTAATTTGAACTTAAGTACACAACATTCTGAAGAAGATAATCTATACCATTTGCCATAAAAGCATAAAATTTTACACAATAGAACATTTAGAACAGCAACAACCTCAAAAACCATACCTCAAACCAACCTGGAGCAATGTCATTTGCAGGTGAATTGTGTGGTTATGAAAAATGAATGTACTAAAACTGGGTATATCTCCTGATAAATAATATTAAAAAAGACATTTTATTGCATGACCTAAAAACATGTAAAATCAATTACAATGTGTGTAATTCATGCAATATGACTGTCCTATTTTATTGTTTTACATGCTTGTACTGTTAAGCATCAACTTCAGAATTTTCTAAAAATTAGAAAAAAGATAAAATACTGTAAGAATAATTCACATCATGTATGAAGCAAATCTTTCCTAATAAATAATTTTAACACATATACAGGTATTCAAAATATTACATTCCCGCATTCCAGAGGAATTTCATTTTTTTAGTTGGCTTTCCTGATCGGGAATGCATGGTCCATCTGTATTCCTTGACTAATGAAAGTGAACATATTGCATGGATTAAAAAAAAATGCATGAGGAAATGCAACTTTACATGAGACATAATTTCTATCCTTGATATACCGTGATTATAAGGTACCAAGTAAGGTGAAGTCCTTCCAAGACAATGACCTCAAGCAATAAACACATTCTTATTAAAAACATTAGCATTAGATCTATTATACCTTTATACACTAAATTCTTAATCTAGTCCCTTAGGAATTTTCAAGAAGTAGAAGAGTGTAAAATAACAGTATACCAACCACACTATATTTGTCATATCCATTGTCGATGATGGGTTTCGCTCAATCCAGGGCTCTTCAGGCCAGCTGAGATACGACAAACATAGCAGTGGGCAGAACATTTAAAAATGTAATAGGCCTAATACTAATGTCTTATGACAAGTAAACTTGTAATCATTTTTCACCGGCTTATAAAGATGTACATACCATAACAGTAAGCACACATTCTACTCATTAAAGCTTAAACCTCCATTTAGAGTTTGGCTGTTTTTTATTTACATTCTTGCCTTTTATATAACTATGCCGAATTGAGCTTGAGCTTACTTGTGACAGTTTAATCACTTTACTAAAGGTATTCTTCTTTAATATTTCTTTCTGGAAAAATTCTACACAGTGACATGCATGTATAGTCCAAAACGTTTGAGCTACTTTAGCTAATACATAACTGCATGATGTTTAATGGTTTTGGTACTAATCAAGTCCTTATAGAGGACCACCATTAATAAATGACTCAGGAGTATAGTATACGCACATCCACTCAAAATAAAACATTTACTTAACAAGTTCAAGCTTTGATGAGATGTTTATACAGACCTTGCTGGAGCATATTTACATCCAATCAACATACAATAAAACATCTACTGAATAAACTTACATACCTTTAAAAGGATCTTCATTACTAAATGGATCTGGTGTGTCTGTATACCCATTGACACCACTGAAAGGATCTTTAGCCTTAAATGGATCATCCTACAAGTTCAAAATACAAATTTTTAATTAAAGAAAAAAAATGCTTGGTCTGTTATTAAAGAAAGTAACAGTAATGCAGGGAATTACCAGTAAAAACTAATCTTTTTTCCAGAAAAGTACTGTAATCATTGATAAAAAACTAGAAGTAACAAAAACAAAAGTATTAATGAAAAAAAATTAAACAGAAAATAGGAAAACAAAAGGAATTTATTCCTTTAAAATATTGGATGTATTACTGAAATAAGTAGGACTTACACAAGATTCATAATAAATGTACATGATGATCAAACACATTTTACACATACCTGAAACAAGAATAAATTAAAATTATCTTGATCATATCATATGGAAGATTAAACCATCAAGTGTCTCTTTGGTTAAATAGTAACATACAGAGTAAATTGTGTGGGAAATAATTTTTAAGCTCATAGAAAGAGAAACAGAAGTATGTGCATGACCACAAGACAATAGCCACAAATCTCTCTATTAAATCTACAATCACAGTCTACTCAGGCATGATGAGAGATTACAAGAAAATTATCTTCCAGAAAATCCACAAGTCTCAAGTCAGTCCATGGTTCATGAAGAATAGTTTAAAAAACAACATCATAAACATATAATGAAACTAAATGATTAAACTACTGGCAAAAAAGATAAGCATATGATTTAGAACAACTTTATTTTAACAAAGTCATGCTAAGATGACTCGACAATTAACTGAAATAAGCTTTAACAGGCCAATGGCAAATACAAAACCACGAGGTAATGACCATAAAAGATCTAAGGCACATACAAAAATAAGGGTCCCCAAAAGGGGCAAGTAACATACCAAAGAGAGAAAAGAAGGAAAGGTTCACTACAATTTCACCTAACTTTATAAATTCATAATACCTCACATAATTAGGAAGGTTTATGGATAAGAATGTTAAAATTTTTTCCAAACTGAGATTGATCAAGACAGCTAAGAGGGAATGTTTTCTTTGATTTTAGAAAAAAAGAACTACCTTCTTGATAAAATGAAAACAAACAGATTTTACAAATGACTATGAAGAAGGCATTTCTATAAGGTAAAAGGGATCTTACCTATGCAATATCAGAACTTTCAAAATTGTGTGTGCATGTGTACAAGTATGATAAATACTGAAATGACAACTCAGCAGATAACACCAGGTTCCATTCAGAGAAAGGAAATGGAGTACATATTCATAAAAACCCAAGTTTAAAACAAGAATATAGAGCCAAGCCATAAAATCCTTGCTAAACTCATTCATATGTGCCTGTAATATCAAATAGGTGAAAACAGAATATACATGAAAACAAATGACATTCTGGAATCTTATGTCAACAGTTGATGCAAAAAGCCTAAGAACAAGAAAAAATCTGAGGAAAGCTGGATTAAAAAAAAAAAGAGCATAAAACTCAAGTACATTGAAAAGTAGATAAAAACTATAAAAACACAGTTATTTCCAAGACTATGAAGTCATTTCCTTCCTAATCCACAAAAGGTGCTAAAAATCAAGTTAACTGAGGCTAAAGCTTAAACAACTAAGTTACTGAAAATTGTACAAAATTCAAATTTTAAAATTAAGTAACTGAATCAAAAGAAAAAGTATCCAAAAATACAAAATTCCTACTAAGCTCCCCAAAAAGAAAAAAATCATTCATAAAATGATAGGTTGAATATGTACCTTGTATCAACTACGTAAGGACTGTAACAAAATTCAATTATATCAAAAATATCAGTAAGAACTGCCTATTCAAAAAAATATATTAAAATACAGAGATGGGCACATAGATATGCATTATTGAAAACTTTCAAACAGTTTGTGATACAATTCTACATGCCTAATAAATATTTTGATTCAGAAACAAAAGTCAACAATAATTTCCTCACATTTATGTAATACTATATAATATAAATGCAATGAAATGATAATTAGCAGTAAGTTATGTCCCATGCAATTGCTCTGGAAAAAAATGTTCTTTTGGAATTAAACAGAACTAAGTTATCGTTATTGCTACGACTCAATGAAAGTCACTATGTTAAGGTCATAAATAAGAGAAGAAAAGTTATTCTGAGAAGTCTAGACCCATAGGGAAAATAGACATTATATTCTTAAAGTTAAAAAAACACATTTTTAATGTCAGTTGTACATACTTCAGAAAAGAAAATACCTTGATGGCACAGTATACCAAGAATCAATATGTGTATGGCTGTTAATGACACTCAATTTGAATAATAAATAAATAAATTATATATTTTTCCCTATGGATCCAGACTTCTCGGACACCCAGTACATGTAACAACAGGAAAGAAATACAAAATTAGTGAACCAATGAGAACACCTGCAGACTAAGGAAACTGGGTAAGTTCATTTAAGCAAACAATCAGGTTCATAAACTTTCCATTACACAAACTTCCACGAACTTGGCAAAAGTTTCAGGACCAAACAATTGGTAATTTTAAAGGAAGCATAGGACAAATAAAAAACTAATTATAATAACACTGCATTAAAAATCTTAATTGTGTTGTTTTTTATTAGAATAATGTTACAGAAATGTAAATAATTGAAACATGTGATCATGATACATTTACAGCCACAGAGTCGCAATCTGATTTCAGAAAGTAATTTCCACAACAACAACCTTTTATAATAGAGGGCTTTGAAAACTGGCTGTTATATAACCTGTTATCATGGAAATGACAACGAGTTAAAAAGCCAGTGAAGCCAAAAAATGTCTAGCTTTACATCATTATTATATATACAAAATACAAATAATTAACATAAAGGTTTCCCTGCCAAGTGCTCAAAAAATACCATGCCCATTGTATCTTGTTATAATAAGATCCAGACCTTTATTTACTTTAGTCTTGAGATGAGACATAGCCTCTTCAGTTTCAATTATTCAAAGTTAAACTATTTTCTGATTTAGGACAAACCCAGAATATTGATAATGTTAATGTTTGTTCTCTACCTTTTTACATTTCAAGTTGGAGAAAGTTCCAGTTAACATGTGCTTTCATACTGCCGATTTTGATAATAAAAAACATTTATGAAAAACTTTGTTCAGGTTCATTACTACAAACTTGTGATAATAAAGAGAATGAAATGAATATGCTGTCAGATCTAAAATTATAAATATAACCAATCAAAATAATAATTAAGTCTTTATTTATCATGCTAAATCACTTTGTCTTGTACCTTGTTTTATTTATGACTTTCAACGAGATTTTCTCTGCTTGAAACGTCAATAAGCAAAGTATGATGTTTTCTACAAACATATTGACCATCAACAATTTTAATCAAGTTATCTAGTTAGAATGGGTAATAATGAACATAATACACTGAAAAATAAACTAAAATATATACTATTTCAGTATAAATGTGGTTTGAATACCTTTACAGTATTTTTTCAAACATAGGAATATAAATCCCACATTTTTCAAGCCTGGATTTATAATTGTGTATTTTCTATGACTTAACAATAGAAAATAAGAGGTGTCAAGACTATAATTAGTTTGAAGTTCATGAAAATATACTCAAGGTCTATTTCTGTTAGTCATCCCTAATTATTAACTAACAGATCGATAAACTAGAGAGAAAGCAGCTAGTTAACAGCATCTACTCCAACTCTTGTTTGACTGAATAGTAGAACTTAACATTTGTTCTTAGAGCAGCCACGGTACAAACTGTTGAGCACAATTTTGTTTTGGGCAGTATTAGGACATGCAGATCCACAGTCCAGCACGCAAACCACTGGCCCATGCTTGGTGCATGAAGATTATTAAAACTAGAACTACTGTCAAAAGTACCTACACATACATTCTAATTTAAGTTATGGTGTGTATAGCTGAAATAGAATTGTTTCAGTTCTAGTATTTAACTCACAGAATTACATAATACTGCACAAAAGAATAAATCCTGCAAAAAAAAAAATCAGTGACAGTAATTACTAAATCTATATGTATATGCTGATTGTGAACAAATAATGTAAACAAACTCATAAAAACAAACAAAATATGTGTGTAACTTAGGTAATACTAAACATACAAAAACAACATCTGATTCATTGATACCTTGAAATCATCAGGTCCTTCTGATACACTGAAAGCACTAAGACTACTCACAGGACTGCTACCAGCCTAACAGGATAGAAGATGATGTTGTAGTGTAGTAAAACATAAAAATAAAGATATTCAAATCAGAGATTACACACAACAAAAAATCATGTTTTCTACAATAATAACTAAAAATGCAACAGTGAATAAAACAAATTTGACTTTTAAACAAAGATTTTACATAAAAAAGTTATTACATGCTTTCAAAGATAAAGTTCAAGCAATTGTTCAAAATAAAACCTTGTGAGAGCATATAAACCTTACAAATAGAAATTTTGTAACTAAAATGTTAGAAGAATCACACAGTAAATTTCAAATATGTTTTCTTTAAAATGAATAAAAATAATTATGTACCATGCATATTTTTTTGTTATTGACTGGGGGTAAACATTTATATGTATATATATTCTTAGTTTGAATGGAGATATTGGAATAACCTTCAAACAAATGTTCTTAGTTTGAATGGCAATGTTGGAATAACCTTGAAACAAATGTTCTTAGTTTGAATGATGTTGGAATAACCTTTAAACAAATGCTCTTAGTTTGAATGAAGATCTTGGAATAACCTTCAAACAAATGCTCTTAGTTTGAATGAAGATCTTGGAATAACCTTCAAACAAATGCTCTCAGTTTGAATGGAGATCTTGGAATAACCTTCAAATAAATGTACAATAAAAGCCAAAAGTATTATTTCATCAGCTGCAGGCTGAAGACATTCATAAACATACCAATTGATTAAGTTTTACTGTGAGCATAAACTACAATATTACAATAAGCATTATTAATTTCCTTTACAAACCATTTAACAGTGTTCTTACAATTAGCTGAATATAATGGGAGATGTAGGAGGTGGAAAAGAGAAAATATGCCTTCTTTTGAAACAATGCATATGTCAGAGTTAGATGGCAACACACACAAGTAAAAGTCAGTATAAATAAGTACATATCACACATACAAAAGATACTGCTAACAATAGTTAGCTAATGAATAGTCTAAGTAGCACTGAGTAACACAGAAACGACAAGATGAAGTTTGTGATCATGATACCAGTCAAGATATAAATTAAGCAATGTTAAAAAAGGAGTTTAAAAATAGAGAGATAGATAGAGATGATGAACTGAAACAACTGAGTATTCAAATATGGTTGTAAGTCAGGCCAATTACAAAACAAAAGCACCCCTTTCAAGACATATAAAAATCACAGTTATTATATGAACCTTGTGTCAGTGGGCAGCCCTCCACAGGCGAGGCCACGATTGCATTACAAATTTCACAGATGAAGTAAAAATAGTAATTCTAAATATTTTCCAAGAACTTTATTTTTACTCAAAAATATTTGAGAATTGGTATTTCATAACACTGCAAAATTCATTTAGTGTAATTTGACAAGAAAAATTTTAAAATATTAAATATTTTAACTCTGATCCCTACAAGGATGAAGCCTGTAAATAATACCTTTTTTTGTAATCTTTTAAAATTTTCCTACCTATTTCAAAGTACAGGTTTGTATTTACTCACAGATTCTGGCATTAATTTGTTTCTCACATGACTTTCCTTTTCTCAAAGACTATTTCAAGAACCCTGTGTTGAAATGCTTTTATGATGCCACATCAAGTTGGTTGGAAAGTAACTGATAAATCTTAGCCATCAAACAAGATAGAACCAACAGCTAAACATGACTGGTTAGAAAGGATTTATGTCTATGCCATTGTAAAATAAATAAACTGAGGTAAACAGTAGCATATGGTTTTTGGGAATGTGACTAGCAGAACCTCTCATAGTGGAGAACAAATGATTCTAATATGAAGTTTACAAAACTTAGCAAGCAAGCCACAAACCTTTAGGGTTAGTGAGTATGGTAAGCTAGGAGATATGTGACAGCAAACTACTCAGATGTCAGAAAAACTATATTTGTGTCAAATTAAATAAATTTATTAGTATTCAAATAACACATGTTAGTTATTGAAATGATAATTACTGAAGAAAAAATAAGCTTGATCAAAAATATAATTGGAAAATGTTGCTTATATCAGTTTAGGCCTAGGATAGGTGTGCAAATCGGGTTTCTGCTGGTCAACACTTTTACTGTTTGTCACTGTTTTATGCTAGTTTTGCAGCTACATAACTGCTTCAATAGGTAAAGGGCAAATAGAAATAACTGACAAAAAAAAAGCCATTATTAGATCATCCCAGACACAAAAATCATAATCTTATTGTACAAATAACTCTACTGGCTAACTTACATTATTTTTAGGCACACAATAAAAAAAACAAAACAACAACAACAAAACTGTAAGAGGAAAAGAAGCATTTTTTTAATGTTCTTTAAAAACAGTGTTTCATGAGAAAATTTCCAAAACTTCACAACCTAAAATATGATACAAATACAGAACTAAATTATACAAGTTTTTTCAAGCTAGACATTGTGTAAAAAATTTGTACTGAATTTTATGTGATTAGGCTAAGTGTGACCAAACTGAGGTAACACAACAAAACCCTGCCAGTTTGGAAAATGTTAAAGATACCAGGCAAGAAGACAAGAGAGAGAACAAACAAAACCATTGCTGAAGACAGTTAGGAAGACTCAAAAGATGGGTACAAATGAAGATATGATATGAATTGGAGAAAAATAAACACATACACTGTTTACTCAAGAAAAAATTTGACTCGATAAGAAGGATTTTGATAAGATGACATTCCTTGCTTGAAATAAATAAGCAAATGAAAAATCTATAAAGTAAAGCATAAATGCATTTATAGGAAAACATTACTAGTACAATGAAGAAAATTGGTCTTATAATGATAGTTACTATTTTAAAATCCTAAAAGAAGCTAAATTTCTATTAAATAAATCACTGGTATGATTATACAAAAATAAATAACAAAGATAATTTTCTTTAATTGAAAAATTTACTTAAAACCATTTTTTGTTTTTGATTTTGACAAATTAAAACCAAGGAAAAAAAACAAACAAAACAGAAACTAAACTGTAAATAAAGAATTACTAACTGTGTTCGACAGTTTCTGATATTCTGGTTCGTAGCTAGCTGGAGTAAATGCTCGTAGAGAATGCTCACTGATGGTGGCTATATTACCACTACTAATCGCTGAATCAAACTGCTCTAATGTTTCTTTCATTACCATTTGCTGATCTTTAAACTGAGTAATTTTTCCTTTTGTCTAAAGAAAAAAGAATATTGTTAACAACAGAAATATTCATTAATAATACATTTAAAAATATCAACTAAGTAGTTTTACACACTAGGGTTTTATTGGTGATTGACTACTGACCATAGTTAAGATGCAATCAGTACTCTAAAAACACCATTATTATTTTGTAAAATCCACACAATTTAAATATATATATATATATATATATATATATATATAAAAGATGATAAGGCAATTTTAGTCCACTAAATAGATCTTAACCTTGTATTAATGACCACCACTATATAGAAAACATTTGTGTATGATGGTCAGTTTTTTCAGTCACTGTCATTTGCTAACCTTTAAGTTCTTTATATTGCCCCAGTAATTATAACTATTTTTTGTAACAGACACATTTTGCAGGCTAATAATTTACCTATGATATTAGATTGAAACAAAAAACACATTAACTACACTGTTAAGAAACAGATTTCAAACTATGAACATATTGTCCAATTATTAATGTCTGTACAGAAACTTAAAATATCACTGCAGCAGAGTTTGAAAATGGAAAAATAACCAACATCTAAGGATAAAGGAAAATTTGCAATTGACGAAATGAATTAAATACACATAATTTAAATTAGTGAACACCCTATTTCACAGACAAGGTTACTGAGAGCCATCACGGGTTCTGGGTAAAAACTGTTATATGTCCCCTCTGCCTCAAAATGTTTTTGGAATAATGTCATATACATGCATAAGTGTTTGAAGGCACAGTTAATCTGTGTTTAAATGTTCCATGATGATTTGATAATACACACTTTTTTGTGGTGGGCAGTGGGCCACTTGGAAATACCTCTGGCCACCCTGCTCTCTTGGTGGATTTGTTTATAGGTGTACGTATAGCTGTGATCTGTGACCAAAAGTAAGTGTAATTTACTTCATATATACACACACAAGAAATTATGGGAATAAGTTAGTCTGCTATTTTACAGCAAAGTCAAAACTGAATTCCAATTTATAGAAAATTTAGTAATTGAATTAAAAAATTGGTTAAATGCATTTTTTTTCTATTCACTTTTTATATACGTGTCTGATACAGGAATTTTGTGTGTATAAAATGTTTCATTAGCAACCAAGAGTTCAACTAATACATGGAGCATATTACAATTACTGTGGTTGGCAGGACAGTAGTCATGTACAGATCAACTAATGATACCAGCACAGAGGAAAGTTAATTTAATACAGCTAACTTCCACATGTTAAAGGGGGAGTGGCATTTATAGCTCTGTATGACGTATTGCAAAATTTATCACTTCATCGTTAGTGGATTAACTATTTTAATAACAATAATAAAAAAATATTTTCAAAAAATAAATGTATAAATAGGTGACATTTTATTATGAAATTGGATAGGTATTGCTGTTGGATTGATAAGCATTTTAGGTTTAACAAATGAAATGATGTCATTGCATTCAATATTTTGTCACTTTTTAATACTTCCAAACTGAATGACAAAGTTTTTATTTACAAATATTTTTCTTTTATTTGTATTTATTTTAACTAACAAAATAAGCTTAAAACAAAGCAAAATTTTAACTAGTAAATTTTCTTTATTTCTAACACAACTGAGATAAAAGCGAGTTCAAGAAAGATACAAGATGTTTTAACATGTTCCCGTGAGATAAATAAATAAATGTATATACATTTACATATAAAGAAACAAGTACAGTGAACCTAAATCCCCCCAAAAAACGTACTAAAAAAAATCCAGATCAGATATTCAAACCTTAATATATCATATTTCCTTGAATCTAATCCTATATAAAAACTGGTAAGAAATATTTTTGTAGGATCAAACATATTTTGTTTAAACATTTAATCAATCATGTTCCAGACATTACAAGTACTTAAAGTCAAAGATCTATGATTTATGAATATAATATTTAATTTTAATGGCTAAGCCATACTGGAAATAGTCAAATACGACAGAAAAACAACATCTCATATGAAGCACAAAATTGATTGATAATGTAAATTATAGCAAACACTTGTTTCCCAAATAAAAACAGGTCATTATTCAAAATTTGTATGTACTAATGATGTATACTACATTCGTAAGCAAAAACAAACGATATTAGAAAAGGCAAACTTGACCTATGTTTATTTTAGGTAAAAGTATTCTTCCATTAGAACAGTTAACTTGTAGACATGTTCTGTAAATGGTGATGTGGTTTTGTCTATTACAGTTTGGATTCTAAGACTTCATTTTAAATCAGTTTCTCAAATATCACCTTTGTTATGAACCATGGCAAATTGTTTTTCGCAATGATCAAAGCCCAGACACAGGGTCTAGCAAATCTGGTTGAGAAACAATGTTCTAAAGGATCACGGAGATCAAAGGTTAAGGTTAAATCGGTCAATGCTTGGTACTTGTAGTTTACAAAACAGAACATGAATGAAAATGTCAGAAGGCTCACTGTCATCTCGCTTGTTCTCATGATCCTCAAATTAGAATAACCTAGTTATGAACACAAGCAAAACAATATAGTGGAATGGCTTTTGGATTTTTTTACAATATTGATTAAGGTCAAATAAAATAATGAATGTGCTTACAGTTACTGTAAATAAAGAGGGGATAATATAAATAGGGATAAACCATTTTTTATTTAAAAACTATTTTTTGGTGGGGAGGTAGGTTTAGATATGTTTCACAGTTTGAAGTATGTCTACTGATTAAAAGGTGAAGGACATAAGTACTACTAATCTTTTTCTTTCAGAATTATGCAATAATTGTGAAACCATCTTAAAATTTGAAAGTGACTGAAGAACCAGTGCAATTTACTTCTTGTTAAAAAAACAACAAAAACATTTGGAGTGTCTGTGCCAAAATAAAAATTCACGGTGTATTCTTCAATCATGAAAAAACTCAACTCTTAATAACTGTGGTAATACAAAGAAACATGCAAGTTTGGTTTTTTTCTGATATTGTACATAAGAATTTGGAACTACCCCATTTTATTTTGACATAAAAAAATTATTTATTCCTACAAAAAAAAATGTTATTATAATTTTGCATTCATAACAAATCAAATCAGATAAAAAGAAACTATAAACAAATATCAATTTACATACCTGAGAAACTTGTGCCTGTACCTCTTGTAATGTGTTGGCAAGACTCTCAAGTTTACTTCTTCCCGACTCTACTTGCTGTTCTAATTGGGCTTCTTCTTGTCTCAAATCATTTAACTCGTATCTTTTCTTGTTGAGTGCTTCCTCTTGTTCCTGTACATGTCAGTTACAAGATACACCAATTTTTGTGTATATATATATATATAT